TCGAGACTGACAATCAAGGGCAGGTTCGACGTAGCAAATGCGTAGTCCCTAATGACAGCACACACAGCGCGAAACGTCATTGGTTTGGTCATAGTGTAACCGTGGAATACCCTAGGCTCGGCTCTCGATGTGTAGGAAGCGGAATGCCAGGGCTGAACCTTGTTGGCGTCCTCTTGAGGCGACTCTGATGTCTCTTGTTCTTCCTCCTCTGATTTGTCCTTGCTGCCAAACTTCTGGGCCAGCCTTTGACGAATGCTTAGACCGGACTTTGATTTCTTCTTGTCTTTTCTTGCATCATTTGATCCGGGGTTGCCCCTCGCAGCTTCCTCGTCAGAGCTGGAGTCGGAAAGCTCGTCTCCGTCCCAGACATCGACCTCAACGCAGCGACATCCTCGCATCAGGACGTTCTTGTAGGCATCAATGCTGGCGTCGCTTGACAGCTGGTTGCCGGTAAGGTATGTGTTGTGGCTCGAGGAGATGAAGTAGTTGGAGATGGGATGCGACTCGTCGACTGGTTGCGCAGGCTTCAAGACGCTTGCTGAGCCCGACATGAAGTAGTTGGCGAAGCTGGAGAATGACCCGTCGGCCAGAAGCTCAGCATTCTGCCCGGAGCATTCCTGCTCTTCAGCCAGCCACTGTTGTTGACCTTTCTTTGTCGTCAAGTCGTAGTGCGTTGTGGTCTGGTCGTATAGCTTCTTGAGGTGTTGCGTAAGCAGCGGTGATAAGGCATCGACCTTGCGAGCTGCAGCAGAGGCAGATGCTGTACCACCGCCTGCTTGAAGTTCTGGGTTGTCGGCCTTGGGCGTACCCAGCTTGCGGTCCTTGTCTTCGTCTTTGCCGGGCAACATCTTGTGATGATATTACGGATACAGTGGGGTCGAAGAGAGAGTGAAGTCAGGAGGAGCGGCGGAAGGGTTGATAGGCGGCAGCAAAGTGCAGAGTGGCAGCGGTGTATGATCCTTGACGCGTACGCGTGCCTGAGTAATGGCTGAATCTAGGCAGCTCAGCTGGCTCTGAGGTGTCAGTAATCCCTTCCCGATTGCGCAATTGGTTGATGGGCAGGTATAGTTAACATACATGCAATACGCATCAAAGATATGCGCAACTCAGTTTCGCGACTACAAAGCCTTTGTGGGGTGGTAGCGGGATCTAATTGTGAAGGTATGAGGGGTGCGGGCCGCGACGTTGACGCGGGCGCAATAGCCTCATGGTCAGCTCGTGCCTGCCTTGGCTTGCCGCATCGGCGTTTGATCATCCAATTGGTGGAGCACATGCATCGCTAATACCTGCTGGAGCTTGACACGCAACTTCCGACGTTTGCTGCATGCGCAAGGTGAATGAATGGGGGCTGCCCTGTTTGCGGCGCTGAGTGAAAGGGGTCTAGCTCTGACATGTGCCTATGCAGCCTCGCCAAGCCCATCGACGTCACTCAGGGTCCAGCATGGCCAAAGATATCATCGAACGATGAGCACTGACATTCTTGACGCAAATAACATTCACAATGGTCAAGTCACGGAAAGAAGCAGAGAGCGAAGTTCGGTCTTGGGGATTCGACCATGTGTTTACGTGGACCGATAGCCCGTGAGTATACAATGGCTCTACTACAGTGCATGTAGACTAACTTCCTCATAGCAATGCGCACTACTCGCCACACAAGCACAGCGGGAAGACGACACATCTCGTACTCAATGGCTCTATAACGTACACATACCCTGATGACCCCGACGCGACAAAGGAAACAATAGGTCCCGGCGCTAGATGGGATGTCGATGCGAACAAGGTGCACGAAGTATGGGTAGGGAACCAAGGTTGTACATATGTCATTGGAGAATAAACTATCGAAGCACTGCGATCATGTCCATTCAGCATCTTAGCCCAAGAACCCATGCTGTCCCAAGTATTTGATGGCATCGAGTGCCAATTGGTCTGCCTTGACCAGCTCTTGCTCAACCATGCGCTCGTACAATCCCTGCAGCTTTGTTTCCTTGGGAGGATGTTGATACTTGCATTTTCGGAGATAAGGGCATTTCCCGTTGCGCTTCCAATTGCTACAGACACTCGTTTCCTTCTTTGCGGCGACTGGTGCCCGCGGGGGAGGAGGAACCCGAATGACTGGTGGAGCAATCTTTGAAGATGTGGGTTCTGGCGCTTCGTCGCTGTCGTCTGAGTCGGACTCTTCTTCCTCTTCCTCTTCTTCGGAACTTGATACCACAGATGACTCTGATAATACTGAGCTTTCGGCCTCAGACTCTGTCTCGCTCTCGTATCCTAGACCCAGATCCACCACGCTCGGCGCAGATTGCTTCTTTATCATGCTCTCGTGGAGTTTCTTCCGTAAAGCCGCGAGCTCTTCTTGTCTGCGATTCTCGGCATCCCGTTTTGCGCCGTCTTCCTTCTTAATCGTATTTTCCTGCCTCCTTTCGCGTGGCATCGGTTGCTGAATCTGGTCGCCGACGTGGTGCTCTCTCGGGGGCTTGCCGCTCACTCTGCGCAAAAAGTCTATCTCGGCTGCTCGTTTCCTCGCAGCTTCCTCTGCCTTCTCCACGATCCTCTTTTGTGTAGGGAAATTCCGTCTTCTGTCCTTGATCCATGCAGCGACCTCAGCTCCTGTTTGAATGCTAATCATCTCTCCTCCATGCTCGAACGCGAAGCCTCCGCCTTTGAGCTTCTCCGTATACGCGGCTTCTTCGTCAATGTCCTCTTCATCGCTACTCTCATCAGGAACTGGCTGCTTCGAGAGCCCTAGATTGACCTTGCGCTTCTTGTTGTCAGGTCGCACCACAGGAGGTGGAGGCAAGGAGAAGCCGAAGCTGGGCACCTGTGGGGGTACGGCGGCCTTGGCCCTAGGTGGCTTCGAACTTGGCTGCGATTGGTTTCGCTGCTGTTGTGCGTTGCTGCTTCGGTCGTTCAGTTTTCTCTTCTGACCAGCGTGTTGAGGCGGCGAGTATTGAGGGCTTGGTTGGTACTGATGGGACTGTGGTGACTGGGGCAAGGGGACGTTGCCTGTGCTTGTCATATGGTTGGCGTATGCTGCCATCGACTGTACACCCGCGGGTGTCGACATATAGGACATGACCTGGGCGAGAGCGTTGGGGTCGTACTGCTGCTGTGTCGCGCCATATGTTTGCGCGCCGCCGGCAAAGGACGAGTTGTTGTAGTCATTCGGGGAGGCAGTGTTGGGCGGCGCATTCGTCTGATGTTGTCCGTTGCCGGCATTGTAACCTCCCCTGTTATTTGCGCCGCCTCTGTTGTTCTGATAGCCTCCTCGTTGGCCTCCTCTGCCGCGCGCATCTCCACGACCGCGATTCTGCCCATGACCCCCTCTTGGATTGCCTCCAGAGCTATTGAAGCCCTCTCCACGATTCTGGTTGCCGCCTCTCCCGCGACCCCTATCACCACCTCCTCGGGCAGCGCCGCCCCGTTGACTCGCGTATGGTTGCTCGCTGGATGTAGCCTTCGGCGGCGGCGGAGGCGGAGGAGGAAATCTGAAGGACGACATTGTGGTGGTAGAAAGTTCGTGTTGCGCGCGAACAAAAGTGCTAAGACATTAGGTACAATAGTTACAAGAAGCGAATGATGGTAGGCTGAAAATCGCGAAAACGCTGGAATGGCTGTTGCAGGACATGCGACGCGCCTCGGGAGTCCGCAAATCCCAAAAGTTCCTTATCGATACCACTAGCGCAGCGCTAGTGGTCACCCAGAGGACTCTCACCATCAACTCCATTGTCTATATCCACCATGTCCAGGTAGCCACCGATTCTCTGCTCTTATACCCATGAAGCCTCCAAAGCTGCGATCATGTTCATACTTGTAAGTTGCTCCCAAATCCGTTGTCGTCTTCATCGCCTACGCGCTTTCGCGCTGCGCGTCAGAAAATTTGAGCGGAAGAGAAAGACGGGACTTGACTATGACTACGCGTAAGGCTCAGTCACCGGGGATCGCGTCGTGCGCATATTGTGGATCTTGTACTGATTTTTGCATAGACCACGATTCAAGACTTGATACAAATCAAGCCGCAGGACTTCGAGAAGCCTAGCGCACAAGCTATCAAAGATGTAGTCAACGACAAGTACAGCAACAGGATCGTTCCTGGTATTGGCCTTTGCCTTTGCATGTGGGATCTCATCTCAGCGACCGAAGGTCTGATCGGTCACGGGACTGGACTTGTCAACGTCAACAGTCAGTAATGTCGCGCCGCTCTCAAGATATCCACTTACATTAGCCACAGTCGAATTTCGTATGACCGTCTTCCGCCCTTTCCGTGGCGAAATCATCTACGGACGGATCAAGTCATCCAACGAAGAAGGCATCATTCTTGACCTGGAATTCACGTCGGAAGTCTTCGTTCCCTACCAAAATTTACCAGAGAACTCATCCTTCTCCAAAGCTGAGATGGTGTGGATCTGGAACTCTGAAGGCACAGAACTTTTCTTCGATAAGGGCGAGCCAGTTCTATTCAGGGTAGAGCATGAAGAGTGGTACGATCAAAGGCCGACCATTATAGAAAAGGATGAGAAGGGCGAGATCATCGAAGAGAGACCGACGGCATGGAAGATTATCGTGAGTCATGTGCAATCGGGTTTGAGACAATGTCTAATGTGAGGTCCAGGGCTCCATGGCTCAACCTGGTCTTGGTCCCACCTTATGGTGGGCTGAAGGCGGAGAAGAGGAAGAGGGCGAGGAAGGCGATGTCGAAATGGAGGGCGCCGAGGAATGATTGCTTCCAGCCAGCGAATATATGCCGCTTGCCGAAATACCCAGTCACAACACGCACCCAGCTCGATCCGTCGGTTTACTTGCATTCCGTATCTTTAGGGTCCAGGCAGAGCTTCGCGGTGCGCGTCATTACTACCATCATCGTCTCATTTCCCGAACCTTCTGCATGTTTGTTGACTTCTGGGTTGCTTTGACTGATTGAACTTGTCTGCTAGATAAATTCCAACCCTGTAACCTACGCAAGATAACCATCTACTCACTCAATCCAGCGATCATCAGCACGAATGGCGACCTTCAACCACGACAAGATTGGTGTGTACATCATGGCTCTTAAAGACAAGTACCATCTATCGGATGCCTCAAGAAACTCCCCTGGTATGACGGTGGACGCCGAGCTCCTGGAAGCCAGAGGATCTGCACTGTTCAATACGATCCAACTGTGTACGGCAATCTCACACGGCTGCAGCGCTGATTCGGTGAGGAAATATCTGGAGCACTATCGCAACGACAAGGAGGAATTCCAAGAGATAGTCGATCTGTCTACGCCCGCCCTCTACTACGCCATTGGAAGGAACTCGCCTGAGCTGATCAACGTCCTTCTGGATTATGGTTTCAATCCAGAGGGTTGCACTGACACGACGCACTTCATTCCGGCGCTTGCTTTTGCGGTCATCCATGGTCATATCCACTTACTGGACACGGCCGCGATGGTAAAGCTCTTACTTGCGGGTGGCGCTGATCCCAAGACGATACCTCAGGATATGTGGCGAAACTATCTGCAGAGACCTTCGGAGACCTGGTCATCTCAGGAAGAACATGAGACTTCATCCCTTACATGGTGCGATGCGTCCGTTCGCACTACATTAGTCCGCGGGCTCAACCTCAGTCAGCGGTATTACTTGCACCGAGCCAATTTGTGCAAGCCCTTCACAGTCAGAGAGAATCAGAAAGCCTAGCTGCATCAGGCAAAAGGTCTCATGAACCTCACCTACCATATCATTGGCCAACTCCCCGTACTACACGACATGCAGCAGCGCATAGCCAACCAATTGGACTCGAATCAGGAATCTCCAGACCCGTTTGTCATGTTGTTTGCCGGCCCTCCAGGACATGGCAAAACGGAGCTCGCTGGACAATTTCGAGACCTGCTATGCGTCAAACATATAAGCATTTCGTGCGCACAAATTATGTCCGATACCCAACTCCTCCGCTCACATCAAGGCTATGAACGCTCAAGTGATGGTTCACAACTCAACAACCCTCTGTCGCATCGTCGTAGTGAATGCTCGGTCGTATTTCTCGATGAGTTCGACAAGACTACGCAAGAAGTTCGCGATTCGCTACTCGCGATCATGGAAGGTTAGCGAACGATGCAGCGATTACTTGATTCGTCAAAATGCTAACATGAACAACAGGTAAATATACAGACCGTAGAACGAATCGGGAAGTCGACTGCTCAAAGACGATCTGGATACTGGGTGACGAAGCCATCAAGACGTACTACAACCGAGAGCTCGCGCATTTGACGGATGACCACAAGCAAGAGGCGGATCTCGTGCCTCTCGTAGACGAGCTCATGGACCTGTTCAAAGGACGCTGGGGAGTAAGGAACTTCGTCTGTGTAAGACGACGCCTACATTGCTAAGTTCAGCAGGACGCATTCGAATCTCGTGTCGACAAGGTAGTTCCCTTCTTCCCGTTTTCACTCGGCGAGCAAGCTGTCGTAGCGCACAAGCTCCTTCTGAGCAGCGCACCAAAAGTCCGTAAAGACATCGACTACCGCCACGAAGTCAAGCGACACATGAGCCACTGCCATGTCAGCTTCCAGCACGACGGTGAGCTCTGTATTCATCTAGCAAAGAAAGTTACACTCCCAGGGTTAGAGCACGCGGACTGAAAAGATAGGCCAGGAATGTGGAGATCGCGGCGCGCCAGGTATACAATGCCATTCCTGATCGTGTGGACGAGTCGCTGAATGAGGGTCCTTTGGAGAGGCTGGAGGTCAAGCTCACGCCAAAAGGCGACGGAAAGCACGGGGTAGGGGTCGTTCGGAAGCGGGATGAATAATGAGGGCGCAAGGAATTCATGCTTGACTCATGGATATTTAGCAGCGATCAGCGAAGTAATGAAGCGTGTCAGTTAGAGGTAGCACTAACCTCAACAAGTAGATGGTCTCATAACAAAACATCTCTAGGGTAACGCGAGCGTTTATGCATCATCAGACAAACCCGGTATTATAAGCGATCGCGCGCACGTCAACCAATAGAAAAATTAAACAGGCCTGCAGTCTAAATCGACATAATAGCATACAAGCAGGTCACCTAGCATTGGGGTAGGCTCTGGATCTGTTCAGCTTTTTTCTTGTATAAGGTGCGCGTGCTCAAGTGCATAGTGAATAGCCTGATCTCGATTGAGCTTAGTCAACCACGTCAACATGCTTCTTGACTGTGCCACCTTCCCAGGATGCGGAAGTCACACCCCGCACTTCAGACGCTCAGTTCTCTACATCATACTCTGCATCTACCTACCCGTACTTCACAATCATCAAGAAGATCTAATAATGATTCGATTCTATACGAAATGAAAGCGAAAGTGGCAGGGCTATTACACTTTCGATCGACAGACTCAGATAAGACGACTGCAGCCGACGACAGCTTGGAATGCAAGGGTAATTGTCGTCTCCTTGGAAGACGATTTTACGAATACCGACATCCCCCTCCTCCTCCATCTCCTCCATCTCCTCAACCTCCCAAAGCTCGCAACCCTTTCCACTACCATTACTTGCCCCCGGGCTGCATCCGTCTGCTCACTCCCTCACCCAGACAGACCAACGACGGCTACCATTGGAAGATACACCTCTTTCACTTCGAAGCGTTCTTCAGAAGCTTCGAGTATGATGCGCTATCTTATGTCTGGGGCACTGATTCGGAACTTCTTGACATCAGTCTGAACGGACGTATTGCGAAAGTGCACCGCAATTTATATAATGCTCTACCTTATCTTGCTCGCCGCGGAGGATGCAAAACCATGCGACCGATCTGGATCGACGCGATTTGTATCAACCAAGCGGACCCTGGAGAGAAGATGAGTCAGATTCGGTTGATGAATCACGTTTACCAGAATGCGAGTAGAGTCTGGATATGGCTCGGGACTTCGCAGCACCAAGAGCGCATCCCTGCCGCTATCTGCTTTCTTGAGAATTTGCGCGATGTAAAGTCCAGCCAACCGCACAGGGACATCGACGACCTGTACGAAAAATTGAGCTTTGCTACATTGGATGAAAAGGCCGCACTGTCTCATCTTGTATTTAACGACTGGTTTGAAAGGTTGTGGGTCCTACAAGAAGCGGCATTAGCGAAAGAGCCAACCTTCCTTTGTGGAGACAATGAATGCAGCTGGGAACTTATGGAAGATGCAATGAGGGATGAAGTGCTCTACAGGCTCTTCGAAAAAGAGTACTATGAGGCCAAGAATCTCGCCCATCTGTGCGATCATTCCGTGCGTACTGGGACAAGAAGAGCGGCGTCGAACACCACGGTATTCCATGTTCGAAGTTTCGCACGGCACGGTTGGGGTATAAGATATATTCAGCCTTCAGGGCCCAATACTAATAGCAAGGGCACCCAGATCATGATGCTAGCATTCGCGATCATCATGTCACGTCCACAAGTATGTCTCAGACCCGAGGATCATGTTCTTGGTCTGCTAGGCTTGATGAACCCGAAGTATTTCGTGTTTAGCTGCCTCGACCCAGATGTACCATACGTATCAGTAGAAGAACTGTTCACTCGAGTCACTAAGTTCATACTGGAGATAGCTTCCGACCGGGAAATTGGAACTTTTTGGACGTGGATCAGCTGGGCATGCGCACTTGATAGACGCCAAGGCTTGCCATCTTGGGCACCGAATCTATCTAGCCCAGGCTCGACTAATACGCCAAGGGATTACGACCCCAGAAGTCCGTCTCGGTATACAACTATCGGAAAGTTGCAACGTTGGTACCCTTCCTTTATAAAACAAGACCAATTGAAGCTAGCCGGCAAGGTACTCGATGAAGTCGTCGAGGTGTTCGCGCAGATGCCTTTTTCTTATTCGACCCGAGATGCGCCCAGACAAGAACAAAGGGGCCATTTGCTAGCTATCGCGCATTGGGAATCGACGATCGCGGATGTTGCGATTGGTCACACAAAAGCGGAAAGTGGTGATGATGGATCTCTCGAAGAATTTTGGCGCACGCTAGTGGATAATCTACAGCGTTACCAAGACGAGACAATAACGTACGATTGGTATCTTGACTTTCAAGCGATGGGTCGACGACTGAGAGACACCAACGTCAACCCCACATATCTGAAGTATGTCACTCTTGCTTGCATCAATACCTGCTCATGAGCTTACACTACGCAGAGCAGAGACAGAGCCTCAATACCCGAGGTTTTATACTCGCGTGAAGGATTCCGAAGAGCTTCTAAAAGCGGAGGCCCAATATCCGAACGCATACAAATTCCTCGACGCCATGCAGGAGGCCCGCAACAGGCGACTCTTCAAGACCAAGAAAGGGCATCTCAGCTCGACGAGGCCGGGTGTGATGCCTGATGATATTCTGATAGCACTGAATGGGGCGCCGATCCTATACGTGATCAGACAGGTCAAGGGTGCTGTGAACGATGAACCGGAGCTTTGGGAGTTTGTAGGCGATGCTTATGTCTATTCTTCAGAATGTGAGAACGACGAGGAATGTACTCTGAAACGCAAGTTCCCTAGCGCAAGCCAGAAGGAAACGGCTTCGCAATCGACTTACCGACCCACCTATACCTATGTATTCAACCGAGACTGGCGAGAAGGCTTGAAGTTCGAGCGCGAAGCCATGGAGAAGGAAGCCCGGAAGAAGGAACTGGCTTATCTGGGAGAAAGTTTCGTATTTGTTTAAATGAGAGCGGTTTTGCGAAAGGATCTGAAGGATTCGAAGCTCATAGATAGGAGCATCCCTCTGAATGAATGCCCAATATTGAGTGTCTTCTCCAAGATGTCCAGCGAAGTTCGCTATGTAAAGAAGATGGCGAAGGGGCTGTCTGGCTGTACCTGCAGTGACGCCCCCGCGCTAACCCCACCCACGAAGGCACGTGCACTGAACTTTCAGATTCGCGCTACGATTTCCCTCCCCACTCACTTCCCAATCCTCCGCCCTCTTCCTGTGAAGGCATGTTATGCTTCGAACCCTATCACGATCGATAACACGAGTCATGGCCTCCAACGAGCCCGCCCGCGTCCCTATCCCAAAGAATGGCGTCGACTACCGTGGCAAAGTGGTGCTTGCGCCTATGGTGCGCTCCGGTGAATTGCCATCACGCCTCCTCGCGCTGAAGTACGGCGCCGACCTGGTCTGGGGACCCGAGACCATCGATCGCGCCATGATTGGCACCACGAAGCGACTTAACCCGCACACGAATACCCTGGAGTTCTCGCGCCTCCCGACTTCAAAGATCAAAAACCCCACCCTCGATCCCGAGAATCGCGAAAGCGTTTTATACCGCATACATCCAGAGCTGGAGAAGGGAAAGCTCATATATCAAATTGGTACGGCGAATCCGGAGCTGGCAGTCCAGGCAGCCAAGATGGTCGCAGCGGATGTTGCAGGCATCGATGTCAATTCTGGCTGCCCCAAGCCATTCTCGACTTCCGGCGGCATGGGTGCAGCGCTGCTCAAGACACCAGACCTGCTTTGCAACATCCTGACGAGTCTCGTGGAAGAAGTGGGAAAGCCATTCGAGATCGGCATCAGCGTCAAGATCAGAATCCTGGACACGCCAGAAGAGACAGCGGCATTGGTGAAGAGACTGGTGCGCACCGGCATCACGGGTCTCACGGTGCACTGTAGAACCACACCCATGCGACCCAGAGAGCGCGCGATTCGAGACCAACTCAAGATGATCGGAGAGATATGCCACGAAGCAGGCGTCGCATGCCTGATGAACGGCGACGTCACATCGCGTACCGAAGCCCTCAAACTCGCGGAAGAGTTCAACGTCGACGGCGCAATGATCGCGACCGCAGCCGAGAAGAACCCCAGCGTGTTCCGACCCGACTCAGAAGGCGGGCCACACGAGTGGAAATCGCAGTGGAAGACCGTTGTCACCGAATACATGCGTTTCGCGCTAGAAGTAGAGAACCGGTGGGGGAACACAAAGTATCTGCTCAGTCAGATGATACCCGGGAAGGAGAAAGCGTACCAGGCGATGAACAAGTCAAAGTGCTACACGGACTGCATCAAGGCGCTGGGCCTGGAGAACGTTGACGACTTGCTACAGCAGGCCAACGTTGTTGACGAGCATCTGGGCATACCGCAGAACGAATCTCGCGCTTCTAAGCGCGCTCGGGTCAAGGAAGCAGCAAATCCAGAAAGTGATGCTGTCGAGCGGAAGGAGAAGCGCAAGGAACGGGATGATGACGAGCCTGAGGCCAAGCGCGTCAAGGTGCCTGAAGTGGAGCCAGAAGCAACTGTGGCCATCCCACCGCAGGAGATAGCGGCTCCTGCTGCGTTGAGCGTATGAAATATGCAGAGATCTATGGGCTGGGCGTGTATCTATTTGGGCATTGCAGGCGTATTGAGCATTTACGAAAGTGCGGGGTTCCCCTCGGTAGTATGCAGCCATGATATGGGACAACTAATTGATATGAATACATACATTACTGTGACTGCGATGCATCATATGTGTTCAAACGACTAACAAAGTCCCCGAGCAGTTACGTCGCGTCGCTGATGACTGAACGCTGGCACGCGAAGGCCTTCGAAGATTTGGTACTAGGGTCTGCTGCGTGACGGCTAGCGCCACGCTAGACGACCCCACTGCTACGGAGGTACATACTGTGCCACATACTTCGCTACCGTCTTGAATGTCAACATTTACTTTTCATCCTCACACTTAATATCCTTAGGATACATAAAGAGCATTCCAGGACCGACAATGGCCGCCTCCACAGACGCGGTTATGGCAGATATCGGCGACGACAAAGCGCAACTCGGCAGTCTACCGAACGAGCTACTAAACCTCATTACAGACTTGGTGGTCGCTGGTGGCACGCCAATGGCGGTGATGCGACTGGTGAACAAGCGATTTAAAGCGTGTGCCCAATCGCACCTCGTCGATTCTCTCCAAGCAAAGGTATGTCCATCACCCGCTTTAACGCAAGGACAAGTTGCGCCAGGAGCGGAATGTCGTCTAGTACGATCGGCACAGCTGACATTGGTATCTCACCACAGGCTTGGGACATTCGTAGTCCCCATGATCTTCGTTCGTTGAGTGAAATCAGCAAGGTGGATGCCTTAGCCCAGGCGATCAAGTCTCTTCGCATGACTTGCTGTTATGAGGAATATCACGAAAATCCTGTCGCTCTCAGAGACGAAGCAAACCATCGACATAATAATGCAATCAAAGAAGTCACGGAACGTACGGTATCGGCTCAGGACAGATTCCGTATGCAACGCAGAACCGCCCTGTTGGAAAGGTTCGCGCACGCTTCCACGCTTTCAGAAGAGATGGAAAACGACAGGGTAGCTGGGAGTAGGAACTACGCACAGAACCTCTTTCCCGAATCTTCTTCAGATATGAACGTGGGTTGGTTGAGAACAATAGTTCTACCTGATCTGGAGTCGCGCTGGGAAAAGTTGAAAGAGGAAAATAAGTCCATCTTCGGCAAAGTATGGTACTCTTCCATCGTACACCCCAGATTATATGGGGCGCATTATGATGCCGTCGCCGAATACGTCTTAGCGAAAGAGGGGCTGATAACCACCATCGCGAAAAGCTTGGCTCCATTCAAGCAATTACATACTTTCGCCTTCGTCGAACCCGAGATCGATGCCTGGAGCCGTTACGAAACGCTTTTCAAGGAAGTTGGTGAAGAGCACGGCCGCTTACAGGGATGTAGGAGCCCATATGCCAGGGGCTCAAAGCGAGACGCAAGCTCGGAGGCCATCGCATACAGCGGGATGATGATCGGCCTTGACGTTGCACTTCGAGCTCTACAGCGAGCCGAAATCCACCCAACCAACTTCGCAATGCCAGTACCTTCTATTGGATTCCAATCCTTCAAGACCTCCGTTTCGAAATACGTCTTGAGCGAGGTTCTCACACAAACAAACAAGCTATGTCTCAACCACCTATCGTTGAGATTCCTTCGTGTTGGGAGTAGTAACGACGACAGACTCACCTTGACAAATGTCTATTCTCGAGAGACCCCCCCACCGGTTCACACCGAAATACTCTTAACCAATGACAGCTTCCCCAGCCTACGCGACCTGACTTTATATTTTGGCCAGGTCAGATCTGCGAACAATCCGGGTCCAGCCACCCACGGCTGGAAGGCAGCAGAACTTGAGTCCCTAACCATTCGATACGACCCCCGATTTGAAGCATCGGCAAATGGTATTCTATGGCACGAAGACTGTTTGAACCACTTCCATCAAAGTCTCAAACACCTGACGATTGTTAACGCTTTTTGCGGCAACTGGAATAACTTCTTCCGCGACATCGCAAAGGCTCAGCTGGAAACACTGGATATTGTGATTGAGGATGATGTTCTCGGGATGGTTAGGACCAAAGTGCCGTCTTTTAACGACGTAGAGAACGGGTTGGTGTGTGTTCAGGAGCGGTTTAAGAAGGCCGCCGAGAAGGTGGAGGTAAGACCGGATTGGGTTTTCGATCTTGTGAAGCGGGTGTGGAAAAATCAGGATGATATTGTTGATCGGTTGTTGGAGGATAGTGATGAGGAGGGTGGGTTTGATTGGGAGGAGGACGATGATGATGACGAGGAAGTTGAAGGATGAGAACGCGGCATTCATGGATGAGGTGTGGATGCTTGACAGATTGGGTAGATTGAAAACTAATTGTTGTGTACAATCGAAATTTACTAGTGACAGCTATCTAGAGCTATATCGTGTATCATAAGTTCAACAACAAGGGCCTCGCCGCGATATTGTCTCTCACGGGAGCGATCGAGCTCATGAGCCTCAAAGCTCGGCCTTACTCACTACTGCCATCAGTACGAGTCTCGCTGACTTGTCGTCAATGACATTCAGGCTCAGTACATGTATACACTCACACCTGGCCGTAATAAGCAAGAAGGCAAAAAATGCGAAGACTGCGTACGCGTCGGCATCTTGGGCCAACCAGGAAACGCCGACCGCAGTTGCTGCCACCAAAACTATCGATGCAACGATGCCAATGCAAAAGCCGCTCCAGCCTGCGCGAATTACAGTGCATATCGGTAGTCTTGATGTCTCAGCTGAAGTACCCAGTGTACCCACTGGTGATCTTCCTGTATGGTGGTGGGTTTTTTCGTATGCCCAAAAGATCCCTGAGAGGCTGTCTTTGTGGCGTGATGCCAACATCGGGCTACTTTTCGTTGCGTGGTAAAGAAAGCGATAAATGTGAATGCGTAGATATAGCTTAGTGCGTTGGCTCGAGACTTGGCGCTGGCATGGATGTAGGCCAGGCTCGGCCTCGGTGCGACATGGCATGCGTAGCAATCTGAGTCGAAAGAGAAGTGTGTAGAATGCAGTCTCAGTATAGTCCGTCCGCATCATTATCTTTCGTCTCCTTGTTCATCTTTCCAGGTTCGATACCGTGCATATCGTCTGCAACGTATTCCATATCTATTCGGAAACGCACATCGACTTGATCAAGGATGTGGCCGGTTAATGTGGTGCATAAACGGCGAAGAGTAACGTGGATACAAGCCTGTGCTGATTCCAGGGGGATTGTTATGCGATCCGCAAGGCTGCTCCCTTCTGATGTCAATCGCGACGTTGAGCCATCATCGCCTTGCACTTCCACGCCTAGCAGTCGAATATCCTTTATGGAATCGCCCAGTATAATTACGGGAGAGACTCTTGAGGAGCTACTGGACGTCCTTATCGTCAAACCAAAGCTGTGGGACGCGGTGCTGGCCATTGTGAAGATGCTTTCAGGTTTCCATTCGTTCGGGACATGAACGTAATTGCTATCCCAAGATGATACCATGAATGAAGAACTGTGGAACTCGAAACAGGCAAGCGCCCGGTCGGGACCCATGTGCTCGACTGGAGAGAGGATAACGTCGGATACTATGAGAGCTTTGGGATCAAAGGCATCACTATTGAGGCTCCTCATATCTACCATAATAGGGGCTGTGTTGAGGCGAGCGTAATTGGATGTCGGAAGCAGCTCGAGAACGATCCCAAAGAGGTGGAATTTGTATCCTGTCAGGGTCAAAGGCAAAAGTGCGACCAATCCGTCCTTTTTTCCACTTGGCTTCCTTGAATAGCGGTTGGTGATCAATGGAAGATACTGGAGGCCCGGTTTGTATCCAGTCTGAGGCACCTTCAACTGCACACCGCTTTTGACCAACTTCAGGGAGGGGTCGTTGAGTGCGTTCCACTGTGCGTCAACGACGCTGCCCATCCGAGAATATTCGATGTAATCAGGAAGGCACGTTGGCTCTTTCGCACACTCCCTACATGGAGTTCTCCTACAGAACTGCCTGGCTGAGTACGCGAGCAATGGTGCATGCTCTGGCACACCAGGGCCATCCGCATCAGTATTATCGTGAGTAGCGAAGAGGAACAGCGTATAGTCGGGTTCGCTCTCAAAGACTACTTGCTGTAACCTGCGAAATGCCCGACGTCCCCCTTCGCCGTAAAGTAATGGCATATTCGCATCGAAGAGACCGAGCAGACAATAAGCCATGTCTTCGGACTTAGTGACCCGTCGATGCGCAGCCCATGACATTTTCTCTGCAGCGAGATATCTGTCCTTCTGAACTGCCCAGACATTCTGAAGAGCAGCAAGGGCGATCCCAGTGATAGTTGCGATTTCTTCGGCTCGCGATGCTTTAGAGCCGATGAACGTCCAGTCGGCTGCGTAAAATTCGACGCTACACGGTGCCAGTAGTTCCTGTAAGGTCCAACCGCGGGTAAACCACAAGCTCTCTTTGAATGCTACATCCAATCCAGCCTGTCCGTTGGGAACGTCACTCAGATAAGCGTAACAAAACTGAGCCTCTTGGTACCACCGAAACATTGAGTTGATCGCCTCTTGAAGCTCCGCAGAGCTGGATTTGTCGATGCAGCAATTGTCTATCCAGATCCAACCGAATCCGTCCTTAAGCGCGCGTGCGCAGGTCCCCTGCAATTTAGGAAATCCACGTTTGGCTCGGGCTGGGTTGCTGATGTCGCTGATAGGGACCTTCATCACATCCTCGAAGAGAATTTCCTCGTCTTCCCACCGGTGTGAGAGGATAACGTACTCAGGTGTTTCACCAATGAACGTCGTGAGCGTCAGGGTATACGTGTTGAGGAGCCTCATGTTTGCGCACTCGTCGTACTGTGCCCAGATGGTCAGGCACGACTACGATTTTTTTCCGTGATGCAAGGCTGAAAGACTCTCTAAGTATAAGCGGCTAGAGAGTAGTGCGAGACATGTGGGATCACGGCGGTCGCCTCAAACGAGCCAGAGTCGACATCATGCTCCAGGTCGTGCCACATGCATGCATGCGGGGTAAGATAAGGTGAAGCCTGCGCTCTAACTCGTGACTGTGCAAATCATCGATGCATACGTAGGTCTACGCCTACGGTGCTCTCAAGCTGCGGTGGTGGAGTGGGGATGAAATTGCGACAAAATGTGTAGACTTCTCGCCGTGGCAACTCGCAGTGAACGCGTTCGGGGAACAGCGCGCAATATTGACGCGCTAATCTTTCACGTGACCCGGCCCAGCCTCTCTAATTCCACCTTATCTTATAAATTATACGCTTCTCTAAGATTCTATACGTTTAACCTTTACGCTAGCGCTACGCTAACATACTAGTATAGTACTAAAAACTTCTTAAAGCTACTAAGCTAATTATAGCCTAAAAAATAAAAGTATTAAATACTATAAAACTTCTAAACTAATAAGTAGGCTTAAACGTAAATCTCTATAGAGTATCTAAGAGAAAATAGTACTAATATTAGTAATATAGATTTTAGCATTATAATAATATACTATTATTACTTTAACTCTATACTTTACCTATACTATAATATTACTTTATTATATTAGATATACTATTTAATAGCGCTTATTATACTTTTTTAACTATATTTAAAATATCTATTATTACTACGTCTAGTTTATCTACTTATATATTACTTTCTCTATTAATACCTATATTATTACTACTATTCTTTCTTTAGTCTCTAAGCTTATAATATCTTAGTTAAATATATACGCCTATACTATATCTAAAGTATAGATAAAATAAAGCCTATAATAAGTGTAGTAATAATAAGTTAATAAATACTACTAAAAAGACTATAATAGAAGATAATACTAGTAAATAGACTTATTATACCTAGCGTCTATATATATAGTAGATATCTACATAGTATAAGTTAACTTAAGTAGTTAAAGTTTTTTAATAATATAGATAGTTATTCTAGAACTTTATCTACGCGTAAGTAATAAAGTAGTATATAATAAATAGTATAAGAGCTAGTAGTTATAAGAAATAATAATAAATACTACTTAAGGTAGTGCGTACTCTATAGTTAGATTATAGTATCTATAGTAAGAATATACTATTAGCTTATAGATATAAGTTATTATAACTTATAAAAGAGAAAGCGTTTAGTATATTTAAAGCTAGTATAAGTATTAACATAGTTAATTACTATACTACTATATAAGCTATTAAAAAACGCGTACCTACTTAGTACACGTTTATTCTTTACTATTTAGAAAATAAAAAGTAAGAAAAGGCTTTAAAAAACTATAAAGCGCTATAGTAGTAACTCTACTTTATTACTAGTATAGTATACTTCTTACGCGTAAAAAAGAGGTTAAATATACTACCTATCTATATTAGTCTCTATTTATAAAGATCTAGTATATACTAACACGTTATTAAGGTTCTTACTAGCTTTAGTATATACTATATATACTATTATATTAATAGTAAAATAAGTAAGATTAGTTAACTTATATAGGTAAGGTACTTTCTTTATATAACTTCTTCTAGTATATAAACTTCTATAATATTATTAAAACTTCTATAATCTTCTAAAACCTTCTATTTATATATTATTTATTAACTCTAGTAGTAGAGTTAATTATAAGTATAAGTATATAATCTCTATATAGTTATTATATATAATAATATTAACTTTATAGATTATAAATAATATAAAAACGCTAGTTATATAGTAAGCTATTAAGCTTTTACTAATATAGCCTTTATTATATATAATAAGTTACCTACTAATAGACTTATCTAAGATATATATAATCTATCTATACCTCTTTCTCTCTATAATATTATAACTAGTCTAGCGTTAACTAGAGGTAATAATATTAGGTATTATATATCTAGCTTACTTATTACTAATATAGTCTAACGCTTATATTTAGAAAGTATAAAGGTAGTATTTAATTATAATAGTAACTCTTTCTATCTAGCTTTCTCTATTATTAAATAGTTACTACCTTACGTTACTTAGTACTAGTAATTTACTAGTATTTTATAGAATAAGAGTACTATTAAGAGCATATATACTATATATAAAGATATATTTTTATATTAGTTAGGCTTAAAGGCTACTAATAAGCTTAGTAAAGTTAATAACTTTACTTATTACCTTATATTATATTATAGAGACTAGCTTACTACTAACTATATATAGTCTACTTTATAGAAGTAGTGTTACGTAGAGCTACTATATAATAAATAGTAGTAGATTTAACTACTTTCTACCTAGTTTTATATCTAGATAAACTTATTAGCTACTATTATTTATACCTATTAAGTAGCTA